CCACCGCGGTGACACAGCACCTCCAAGACACGCGAGCTGTTGTCCGGCTGCAGCGGGGTGTCTGCTGATAAACGAGTCGTGCTCGGAAGGCCCCTGGCAGCGAGAGCAGGGGTGAATCGCCCGCTCCAGGGCGCTCCGCTGCTTTGTCCAGCCGAGCGGTCCCTTAGAAGCTGCAGGCAACAGCGGCCGCTGAACGGCCTGCGTCCTGCTAACCAGCTGCTGCAGGAGCTCTAAAAGCAGAGCTCTCCGGGGCAAACGCTCAGGGTCAGGGGCAGTTCTGGGTCAGTTCAAATGCTAGTTAAGCCTTTCACTATTTTCTGAGGCTGAGTGATCCCATGGTTTCACGCATGCCAAAAGTCCACTGTGTGCACCCAGCTCCCTGCTGGGAAACCCAGGGGGGCTGTCAGGAGCTGTGCATACAATTTGACAGGAGCTGTGTGTACAATTTGACAGGAGCTGTGCGTACAACCGGACGGGAGCTGTGCGTACAACGTGGTGGGAGCTGCGCTTTGCTCCTGCCTTTGTGCAGCTCCTGACATTTGAGCTGCAAGTGAGGGGCCACACAGAAAACAGGCCTAGTTCCACTGCAGCTTCCAGCTCCAGATCCTTGATGAAACGGGCGCTCCCCAAGACCTTGCAGATCACTTTTTGGTAAAAGACAACAAACAAATCCCTGGTCTTGCATATATTCGCAAAGAGCCATCAGTATTTTGGCCAATAGCCCGGCCAGTCCGCTCATTCCCCGCGGCGAGGCCGCGGCGCGCGGGCCCTACCTCTCTCCAGGAGGACGTGTACCAGTCGAGGCAGGGCTGGCTGCGGCACGGCGCCCGCGCGGGCGGCTTGTAGAGCACGGCCTGGCAGTGGAAGGGCCGCAGGAGCCGCTGCTCCCTCGTGTCCACGCAGTGCACGTCCCGCACCTTGGAGCCGCCGCCGCAGTTCCTGGAGCACTGCGGCAGCGGGAGGGAAAACACGTAAATATTGTGTCCGGGTGAAGCTCTCTGGCGAAGGGAATTGACCCAGAATTTAAAGAAATGGACTGACAAGCTCTGTACTGAGTTGCATTGAGTCAATACTTGTTTTCACCACTTTATCTAGCCCAAACTAGAATCTGTTCCTTGGAGGTCTGAATCAGTCACTACTTTCCCTCTGGAAGCATTCAGCTTCCAGCCACAATGGCAACACAGTCTTTAGGATGGTTTCCCACCCAAGTATCCCAGAAATCAAGGTCACCCAGGAAAGTCAAGGTTGTTCCCAAGCATTTAACTGCAGTGGATTCACCCAGCCTGGCTGCAAACGTCTCCTGCTAGTGCAGGTTCTCAAGAACATTTATCAGAGACTTTCAAACCTCTCTTCTGCAAATTCCTGGCTTTTTAACCATCCCAAGAGTAGGAAAAATAAAACAGTGGAAGAAAACAGTTTAAACCCTGTGGGAATTGCAAGTGGACACCCTGAGCCCCACCACTTGCCAGGGGAAAATTCAGCCTCTTCCCTTGGGAGCCACGGGGCACGAGCACGCGTCCCGCTGCGCAGTGAGCACCCGCTGCAGCTTACGCAGGGAAACACACGGAGGACGTGCCCGGGTGTCACTCGTGTTTACCTTGCTCCAGTTGCCCACGTGCCATGATGAGCACGGCCTCAGGGAGCACCTCCGAGCGGGGACGGGCTTGTTTGCAGCGACGCAGGCCTCGCCGCTGCCCGCGCTGCAGCGCACGGTTCTCCAGATGGCTCCCACGCCGCACGTGGCAGAGCACTGCAACACACAACACGCGCTGGGCGCTCCGCCGGCACCCGCGCGGCCCGGCCCGCGGCGCCGCCAGGACCGGAACGCTAAATCCCGCAGGAACGCTGCGGGGAGCCGGCTTGGCTCCTTGCTTCCTCCGAGGACATGAGGAGGGGTGCCAGCAACACCAGCGGGTGTCACGGTGCCGCAGGGCCACACAGCTGCACACTGAAAGGAAGGTTTTCCAGCGATGCCAATTCCCGGGCAGTGAGGGTAGCTTTAGCTTTTAAATGGTTAGATTCCCATTAACTGGCACTGGTGGCTGCATTTGACTGTTCTCTCTAAATGTGTGTTTCATTTCCTTCATGCTCAGCTCTCTCTTACAGTTCCTGCACACCTACTTTTTTCTTGGCGTTAAAAGCTCAGGTAGAGATTTCCCTGATTCATCTCCATCTGAAAGGCAGCATCTCCACCTTCTTTTTTGCCTCACCCCTTGCTTTCTAGACTCATCTGAATTATTTTGTAGCCGCCAATCCATCCTGAAAGCCTTTGCAGGGCTTTCAGAGCGTCCTGCCTGAATTACACCAGCGCAAAGCTCTGCCGCAGCGCTGAGATTAGCCCTATTCCAGGGCTGTAACTGAGAGCACCATTTACTCAAGTGCTCTGAATGGAGTCTTGTCAGCTCCGTGGGCAGCGTTTGAAGGCTGCTCAGTGCCCTTTCACACAGCTCACATGTGTGACCGTGTTTTACTGATACGAGTCTTGTCCTCAGAGTTACTGGGTCCTTTGTGCAGCCTCCTAAAAAGATTCTCCTAATGATCCGTCTCCAGTGCTCCATGACACTGAGGGCTTATTATTTTTGTGCTTTCTGATAAAACCCCATCACCACGAATTGTGTAAGCCATTAAGCTGTCACTGCAAGTGCTCTGCAGAGAGCGGCCACAGGACGGCCGTGCAGGGAAATGATAGCTGCTAATTACTGATAACATCACGTTTCCCATATTCAGCAGAGCCCTTTCCCCCAGGTAATTTGCAGCCTCGATGTACTTTCCCCTTGACATTTTAATTCCTGTCATTTTGAGGTGTATTTTATGATAGCCCCGTAAAACGCCCTGTAAAGCGCACACTGCTGCAGAGCGCTGCCCGCACCGCCGGGCGCTCGGCTCTGCCAAGATGCAGGAAGCCTTGGGAACGCTGGGAACGCCTCGGGATGAGCCGTGGGGACGGAGCTCCCTGCAGAGCGGCCGGGTTACAGCTCCAACGGGAACCAACACGTACCTCACTCCAGTTCCTCAGCTCCCAGCGGGG